ATGCCAGTGGCACTTCTCAAAACTCTTTAAGATTAGTGGTAAGATGTATTTCTTTCTTTTTACTATTTGAGCACTCTCTTAATATGAATTGGGTTAAAATGAGACTTAAATCTGTAAAGAGTAATGATAAAGCACTTTACCCTTTTCTTAACAGCTTGACAACAGATTCCAAAAAAAGGGAAAATACAATTTGGTTCAGTATGTGGTACATGTAAGGAGACAGAAATGCAGATGTGCATTTTATTTCTCAGGTATCATCAATGAACTGTGTTTCATTTTCTTAAAGAAGTCAAGCATATAAAAAAAATGAAATCTTGCCACTTGGAGCAACATGGATGGAACTAGAGGGTATTATACTAAGTGAAATATCAGTCAGAGAAAGAAAAATACCACATTATTTCAGGAATATGTGGAATTTAAGAAACAAAAAGAGATGAACATAGGGGAAGGAAAGGAAAAATAAAGATGGAAACAAGGAGGGAGGCAAACTGTAAGAGACTCTTAACTATAGGAAACAAACAGGGTTGCTGGAAGGGACATGTGTGGGGGGATGGGGTAGTTGGGTGATGGGCATTAAGGAGGGCACTTGAAGTAATGAGCACTGGGTGTTATATGCAACAGATGAATCATTACATCCTACCTCTGAAACTAATAATACAGCATATGTTAACTAAATTGAATTTAAAATTAAAAATTAAAAAAAGAAGTCAAGCATAAGTGTATTTGAGCAATAATATTTCTCAGAATTGCCATTTCTCCTATTTACCTTGTAGTTAATCCTCAGCAGTTCTTTATATTGAAGCTATTTTATTAGATGATTTCCTCATTATTAGTTTTATAACTTGATTTGGTGGAAGGGGGAGGAGTAACGGGAAGAACATTGTCAGGGATGGGAGTATTATTTTACTCTTAAGTTGTCATTTTTGTGCAAAACAAAATTCAATAAATTTTCCTAATATTTGAATATTGAAGTGTATTATATAATAGAGATGTTTAGTTGCCAAATTTAAATGGACAAAATACATCCACATAGCTTTAAACATTTAGCCACCAAAAATACCACCTTTACTTAATTCAGTGGACATCCGAAAATGGCATTATACATTTGAGGGCAGCCCAGACACACATTAAACTTCTCACAATTGACAGAAAATGTTTAAACCAGATGCTTAAAATGTGCATGGGAAATGTAACTCTAAGAGACTTGGTTTAAAAATAAAATTAAATCTGAGATCTTAGCACAAATCTTCTTAGAAAGTCCTGTAGCACACAGCACTTTGCTCAAATACATTTGAATGTTTCTACTTTGCTTACTGTATGGCTATAAAATCACCAGCTGACTTTGCAAGTCCATCAAGAGCATGTGATAATTCACTTTCTTATATGTTTGTCCCACCATACAGCTATATCTCTATGACACTCCAGTTATACTAACCACATCCTGGGGTTTCTTGCCTTGGACCATATTGCTTTTCATGCAAACAACTACAACAACAACAAAACTCTTCTTCACTCTCTGCATCTAATATCTACCAGCCTTATTTTACAGACTTGTCCATTAATCACAGTTATTAGTCTGTCTTTCCTTTTCCCCTAGATAGGGGGTCAGCAAACTTTTTCTGTAAAGGGCCAGAATACATATTTTTATAACACGAGAAAACAAATTTCCACAAAATTTTAATTGATGATATTTGAATATCAATTATGTACAATTTGTTATGTAATATAGACCTCCTAATAAGATAAATGGACTTGTATATCTGATCTCTGGAAATGTCTTTCCATACAGATAGTTACTGCCAAATACCGATATCAATCCATAAGCATGTAGTTTTATATCAACATATCTATTTCTTAGAAGGCATGTAAAGTATTCTATTAGATTATTTTCTTCATACTTTCCATTTAGCATGCCATCACACTGAAGATTAATAATTTCTTTTTTAAAAAAGATTTTATTTATTTGTCAGAGAGAGAGAGCACAAGCAGGAGGAGAGACAAGCAGAGGGAGAAGCAGGCTTCCCAATGAGCAAGGACCCTGATGCAGGACTCAATCCCAGGACCCTGGGATCATGACCTGAGCCGAAGGCAGATGCTTAACTGACTGAGCCACCCAGGCATCCCAAAGATTAATAATTTCGAATTGAAGGTTAGGTAAAAGCTCCTCAATTGCATATTTGTTCTACAGTGCTGGAGTATATAATGTAACTTGACATTACTTGTTGTTCAAACAATTGCAGTTGTCATCAAAATGACTTTACTGCTGTATAGGTCTTATATATAAGCATTGTATTACCTTATAATTTTAGCTAGATTTGTTAAGAGAGTTTAACAAGTTTGTAATAAAAAAATAATTTCCAAAGTAATTCAGTGTTTGATAATAGTGGTCAAGGGTGCTTCTCCTTTGACAAAATTTCAATGTTGGCTTTGAGCTCAAAACAAACAAACAAACAAAAAACAAAAACAGAACTCAGTAAAACTTTGCCACTGCCAAACCATCCAACAGCTTCTGTGGTAGGCAAGTCAGGATATTCGACTTGTATTTTTGACAAAAGTTCACAGAATAACAATTGTTCCATTAACAATAGTAAATGAAACTCAACTATTGACCTTACACATGATAGACGCAAACATTTTCCACAAAGTACCTGCTAATGTGTAATACAGCAAATAACTGTAGGCTTTGGATAACTTATATTTTCCCAAGCCTTATAAATTTGCCCAACTAACCTTTTTTCTGTGCCACATATATTCTACTCACCATTAGTTATAACACTTCTTAGCAGATCCCACTTCAAGTTTTACTGAATTAGTGCTTTCTCAGCTTCATTGGAAATATTTTTGCCTGTTCTGTTCCACACAGACATTCGTTGATAGAGCCTAATTCTTTAGTTACTTCAAACTTGGCATTGCTTCCTCAAGTAAATAACAGCTAAACATTGTTGGTAACATCTGTTAACTCATTAAGAAGAGTAAAAAACAAACAAACAGTTGAATTATTTGCCCATACTTTTTTAAAGTCAGTATTGATATTGTTTTTAATGTTCTCAACTTTTTGAGTAACTGCATTTGTTGAAAACCTAACAATCTTAAGTTTACTTTCTTTAGATAAATTTATTTGGCTGTTGTAAACAAATACAACTTAATTAGTTCACCATTAGTAAATGTTTTTCTCTGCCTGACTAACAAATGAGACTTTTGGAAACTTACTTTGGTCATAGTCTAATTTTCATTTTTTAAAACATTTTGTGAAGAAATTCTGCTGTGATGAGATGCTCCATTTTAACTGTTTAATTCTTTTGACTGTTGTTTTCCTGCGAGTTGGAATATTGTGATGAGTGATCAGTCTGATAATATCAGTGTGTACTGTATTCTTTTTGTCACAACCATAGTGTCATTGCATAACAAACCTTATTTACCATTTAATTTGATAACAAAATAAGTCTTGCTCAACTGGACCTTAATAGTATATGTTCCAAGTCTGATTGTCTCTTCTTTTCTTGATTTGACATAATGGTCATGCACAAGTAATATAAATAAATAAATAAATAAATAAATAAATAAACAAACAAACACTCACATTAAGGTGATATGTGTGGAGTACTTGAAACTATGAGGAAGGAAAAATAATTTTCACTCTACACTTGTAAGTTCTCAACTGAGACCTCCTGTAGTAACAGACAGATTAACAGGAGAAAAACAAACAAAAGTTTAATAACATGTATGCTTCCTATATACATGGAGGATACCCAGAAAAACTGAATAACTTTCTGAAGTGGCCCAAGACATTACCTTGAATCCATCTTCAGCTAAAGACAAAAGATTTTTTGGGGGGGTGGGTGGGTGAAACAGTTAAGGAAGGTTACCAGGAAGAGCACAGTAAACAAGTAAAGAATCTGTTATGTAGGTTTAAGTTTGTTGCCTTCTCCAATGATGAGTTGTAAAAATTTGGTCACCTTTCTCTTGCAGGTATAGAGAAGGAAACATCCTTACAAATGGAGATTTCCCTTATAAATATAGTATTTCTCATGAAAGGGTAACTTCTATTCAGTTTTCAGAGCTTTTCTTATGTTTGCTTTTTCTTAAAAGTGATCAACCTAAGATAATCTTTATGCCAAAGAAACACATTTTGGGGTGACAAAATCTGCCCTCCTTCAAAACACTGTCAAATAATTGTATCACTGTAATTTGTAGCACACCAAACAACAGTATGAAGTTCTGAGAGTGTGACATAAGATCTCAGATACACTCCTCAACTCTGCTATTATAGCATAAAAACTATTAACATTCATTGCGTTTTTTCAGCTTCTTGAAAAATCTTTCTTTTTCACAGATCAAATGATAACTTTTTATCAAATCCTTTACCCATATACTAAAACCAAATATACAGAAAATGTGTATAGCATGTGTTCATCATTTTAAAAACAGAGAACATACTCTAAGTCCTGAAGAAAATTCAATGGATAAAATCATTATATTTTCAAGACCTTGATAATTATTCTGGGTTGGTAGGTTAGTATCTTTGTATTGGTTCAGAAATTTCTTGGCACTTATTAAATATATTTTTATGTTAGGCAGCAAATTTGTGATGTGCTGGCAAACAGGATAGGTTTTAATTTTAGACCATGGTGAATTCATAAATACAAGCTGTTGAACACATTGAGTTATAACAGCACTGGAGTGAAAAATCTCTCCAGCTTAAATTTTATCCATTTAAATATTTTAAATTGTCCTCTACATTTCCATTCATATGTTTAACGGAACACTTAAAAGTTAGAGTGAAATTTAAGCTCCATGAGAAAATTTTTTTCTCTCTCTCTATTCCTAGTGTCTAGAGTTTTGCCTGTCATATTACAACACTTCAATGACTATGATACATACAGAGATTTACACAGGCACTATTTTATTTACCCATATTTCATGCATGTATGCAATGCACTACATTTTTCACTTTTAACAAACCACTGAAAAAATACTTGTATTTTTTTCTCCTTCTAAAGCCAATGAAGGAGGTTGTACGATCTCACACCCCGGTGAAAGAGTCAACAACTGTGGAGATCTGGATTCATCCCCAACCACAGGTATGAAAGGAAACACTTGATATTTTTCTATTCCCTTTGATTTTTATGAATGTATAAGAAATATTCTTAAATTATGTTTCTCAATGTGTGTTCCATGAAGTTTCTTTAGATCGTTTTGTGCCAGACTCTAGTGTAAAAATATGACAGTAAATACATGTTTCTTCCTAGTGTTGTTTGCTAATGATAGTTGAGTTAATTTGTTTGTTGAATAAGGTACAAGCATTCCTCAAAAAGTATCTTCTGAATGATTGCCTATTCCACTGATTTTTAAGTCTACTTCTGAGATTTTGGATTGAAAAAAATGACAACTGCTGTTTATAATATGATTTAATATAGGGAAATTTGTATGCTAATTAGGCAAATTTTAGTGAAACTTCACTAAAATCAGTTCAGGTGGAAACCAGTTTGATTTTTTAAATTAAGTTATAAGGTACTTTAAAAAAAAAGAAAAACACTTCTACTCATTTCAATCATAACAGCTCAAAATTTGACTAACAAATCCAATCTCAATTTTTTTGCTAAGTAGAGACCCTTAAGGGGCTTCAAAAACAGAGTGAGCAGACCAATATCTAAATATTTTTACACTATTTCTTATTTTGTGGCTGGTTAACTTACTATTTTTAATAAAGTGAAGGTTCTGAATCTTACCCTTTGGGTGCCAAGTTAATAACCATAAATTGAACTCTACCGAGTTATTTTCATATGCCTTTCATTTTTTCTAAAACATATACATTTAGAAAATGCAGAAAAATAATGCTTAAGTACAATGTTAAAAAACAAAAAACAACTATAATTGTTGCAGGATCATTGAACATGACAGTCAAGAAAGAATTCTTGAGACATTTTACAGTGCAACTTAACAAGTTTATTGAAGTAGCACAGGGACAAGACCCATGGGCAGGAAGAGCTGAACTTTTGCTGTATGAAGCTAGTGGTTATATGTATAGTGCTTGAGTGGGTGGGGACATGCAGGGAGTATTATATCATAAATGTCTTCTTCAAATTTCTACTCATAAAACCACTTTTCCAAGATTTCTCTGGTGTTTATCATTCAGTACAATATTAACTATCAGTGAGACATACAGGCCATCATGAGACCCTTTAAGAATGTAGCACCCAGCACTTATTTGATCCTTATCAAAACTATGTAGGTTATAGGTCAGCCTTCTGGGCTAAAGGTGAACATTTCTATGCTTTTATCCCCCATAATAATGAAAAGAAAATAACATTTGCTTATTATTTATTATTTCATGTGTGTTTCTGAAATTTATGAAATTCGTGTGTTCTGTAAAAATAACATTCTACAATATTTTACAAAGTTAGTTTATGCTTTGAGGAAGAGTTACAGAGTTAATATATTCTCTATGGGGAAAAATGATTAATCAAATAAAGGAACATTACAAGCTGGGAACTGTCCAAATTGTTACAAGTTTTAAATTACTCAAGTCTGACTTGGTGAAGTTTTGCCAAATTTCAAACTGATTTTCAAGCCTTGCACTTCTGATTCAGTCTCAAGAAAATTGGTAAGGATATGGAATATAGGTAATATGATCTACATTTGTATTCTCAATTAAGAATCTATTGCAGTTCTTTAAATTTTGAAAGCATTTGCTATATATAATTGTTCTGCATTTTTAGAAAGTGTTTTCAGGAAGTTAAAAGAATCTACTGCAGTCTTCAGAATAGCAGTTTTGAATAAAAGTACATAATTTTAAAAAATGTACTTTAAGTTCCAAAAACCTGAACAACCAGTGTAACATAGGGTATGACAGGGATAAATAGAAGTCAGATGGAATTAGACATTATTATGTAACACTCTTTATGAGTAAGAAGATGCTCTTTCAACTATATATATATATATATGTTCAAGCAATTATTTTTTATTGTATTCTACTAAATGGAATGCAATGTAATTAACTGTGCTAATTTATGCCCAATTACTGATGCTTTCATCTGGAACTTAAAATCTTTTTAGAGACACATTCATTCCTTATATAGGGGGTGCTTTTTGCTTGAGGCTGTTTTAGTTAAGTAAGTCTTTTAAGTATCTGACAGCCTTGAATGTCCTTACACTCTGAGACTTCAGTTAAAAATTAAAATATTTCATAGAGTGTTGAATTAAAATATATAGTATTACTATGCATTTGATACAGATAAGGACTTTTCAACATTTTTTTGATAAACATTGTGCTTGCCTTTGTAAAGTTTGAAGAAAATATTTGTATTATGAATAAGCTTTTATGGTTACTTATGAAGTATCTTATTTGACAAGATATTTATTTGCAATATTTAAAGAGCAATAATCAAGGAAAGAATATCCAATAGTAAAAAGACAGTCTCTTCAACAAATGCTGCTGGGAAAAGTGGACAGCAACATGCAGAAGAATGAAACTGGACCATTTTATTAAACCATACACAAAAATAAATTCAAAATGAATGAAAGACCTAAATGGGAGACAGAAAGTCATGAAAGTCCTAGAGGAGAACACAGGCAGTAACCTCTTTGACATCAGCCTTAGCAACTTTTTACTAGATACATCTCCTGAGGCAAGGGAACCCAAAGCAAAAATAAACTATTGGGACTTCATCAAGATAGAAAGCTTCTACACAGCAAAGGAAACAGTCAACAAAACTAAAAGGCAATCTTCAGAATGGGAAAAGATATCTTTTTTGGGGAGACATGGGAAGGGTATGTGCTATGGTGAGCATTGTGAATTGTGTAAGACTGTTGAATCACAGATGTGTACCTCTGAAAAAATAATATATGTTAAAAAAAAGAAGATAGCAGGAAGGGAAAAATGAGGGGGGAAATCAGAGGGGGAGACAAACCATGCGAGACTATGGACTCTGAGAAACAAACTGAGGGTTCTAGAGGGGAGGGGGTGGGAGGATGGGTTAGCCTGGTGATGGGTATTAAAGAGGGCAGGTACTGAATGGAGCACTGGGTGTTATACGAAAACAATGAATCATGAAACACTACATCAAAAACTAATGATGTAATGAATGGTGATTAACATAACATAATAAAAAAAAGAACTTATCAAACTCAAGAACTCAAGACCAAAAAACAAATAATCCAGTTAAAAAATGTGCAGAATAGAGAGAGGAGGCAAGATAGTGGAGGAGTAGGGGATCCTGTTTCAACTGGTCCCCTGCATTTAGCTAGATATCTATCAAACCGTTTTGAACACACACGAAATCAGCCTGAGATGTAAGAATATAGATCTGGATCTCTACAAGCAGAAAAGTGACTGCTTTTTGCAAGGTAGGATGTGCAGAGTCGTGAACCTGTGGGGAGCTATCAGAAGATAAACAGAAGGGGGAGGGAGCCTCCATAAACTGGCTCCTGGAACATGATATAACACCAGAGTGCAAAATCAGAACCCTTAAAAATCTGCTCCAGTGAGAGACATCCTTCTCTGAAAGGGACTCTGGAAATAAAAAGGCAGAATTCTAGGTAGGGCATTGTGGTCTTGGGAGCCAAAGAGCCACAGAGGAAACGGGGGTGCCTGAACCGTAAAGTGCCTGAGCAGTGGAGCCAGGAAGCAGGTTATGGTGAGATTGCCATAAACCACAAACTGGGCTGGTCGGTAATCGCTCTTTTCCTGAGCAGCCTGAAAAAGACTGGAACCTGCACTGGTGGCCAAGCAAAAGCTCACAGGGCGGTAGCAGCCCAGAAAGGACATTAGGGTGGCACCCAGACATGATCCAGGAGCTTTGGGTGCACAAGAGAGCCCATGGTAGCTCACAGTTTTAGAGTCACAAAGGACAGTGGCACTCTTGGGCCCCTGGACTACCTCTGAGAGAGTTGCCATGGGCCTGCAGCTCGAGAAGCTGCAGTTTTTGTTGCCTACAGAAGTGGAGACTGTTTGTCCCAGATGGTTGACTAAAGAGGGGAGACTATGACCTTCTGCTCTGGGCCAGAGTTTTGTGCACAGCCATTTTTTTTTTAAAGATTTTATTTATTTATTTGAGAGAGAGAGAATGAGAGATAGCACGAGAGGTAAGAGGGTCAGAGGGAGAAGCAGACTCCCTGCTGAGCAGGGAGCCCGATGTGGGACTCGATCCCGGGACTCCAGGATCATGACCTGAGCCGAAGGCAGTCGCTTAACCAACTGAGCCACCCAGGCGCCCTGTGCACAGCCATTTTTGTTCTGATACTCTGAAGAGGCACAGAAAACCTCCAAGGAACAAGAGCCATACAGAAGACCGTTTCCACTGAGTCCATCCCCCTGACAGGGGTGGGACAACTCTGCCCAGGCAGGGATACCTGAGAAACAGTGCAGCATGCCCCTCCCCCGGAAGACAGGCTGGAAGAACAGGTGGATGACAAGCCTATGGATTCTACAAGACTGTAAAATTCCAACTCCAGGGGAAAATAGTACATTGAGCTCCAGGTATTGCCTCACAACTCGTTTATTTTGTAGATAAAATTATTTTTTTTCTTTCTTTTTCTTATGCTTTGTCTTTTTTTATACTTTTTCTCATTTCAACTAGATGTTTATTATACCAACTTATATTTCATAGTCGTTTTTAACTTGTATTTTTTCAATCTATATTTTTAATAGATATGTGCTTCATTTTAGTCCTTTTTTCATTCTCTTCCATTTTATCTTTATATATTATATATATATTATATATATATAAT